CCCCCCCCCCCTTTTTTGGGGAAAAATTTTTTCCCCTTTTGGGGGCGCGGTTTTTTTTAAAAATAGGGGGAGAAAAACAAGGGGGGCCCCCCCCCCCCCCCCCCCCCCCCCTTTACCACAACAGGCTTTACGCAGCGGCGAACATGTTCTGGGGGGGGCAGGCGATCCGCCTTCGCGTTGAGATGGAGGTGGCGGTCCCGCTAGGGTTTGCCATGCGTTGGCTGGCGTCGCTGACGGCGAGGGGGGGGGTGTACTACCCCTATAGCGACACCGTCCCCGTAAGTGTGCGTTTGTCTTGTGATTGTGGTGGGAAGGGGGGGGAGAGTAGGAAGGGTGATGAATCTTGTTTTTTTCCGAGTTGCGTGTTGGGGTTTATGAAAGTCGTACGAGGGCAGGGGTTGCTGAACGCAAGGGTACATAAACTGGCGGAAAAGACTATCCGCTCGAGATATTACCGCAGCAGTCGAATTGGGTGTGCTGAAGTCTTTTGATTGAGTGGAGGGAAACCCGGCTGGAAACTGGGCTTATTCTGAGTTTTTTTCAAGCCTAACGCTGAATGGTATCAGTGATCCGGCACGCGACTCAAAATGAACGCAAGGACGGAAATGGCGGTTGAACGATGGATGTGTGTGCTACGTTGATTTGTTTGTTCGTGCTTTTTTTTGCTGGTTTGGCGGGCAGACAAATGTGTGGTGGGATGAGAGTGAGAGAGAGAGCGCAGTCCGACACTGTCGATGGCAGCCTTTGGGTTTGTGTGTAACCGCACTACCCAGGTTTCTGGGTTGCCGATGTTGCTGCCGCGGTGGAACGACGTCGTGCGGAATGGTGATGTGATGCATGCTGTGTGGAACGGGTGTTGTTGACAACGACCACGACAACCATCAACAGCAGTCACCATCAGTATCATGAAGAACACCAAACACATGAACAACGAGGTTAACAGCAACAAAACAAAATTAGCACAACACGAACACCCACCAACCCCAACAACATCGTGAAAAACACCAACATAAAGAAGAGTAACAGACACCATCAACAACACCAAACAAAACCACAACATCAACAACAATAACTAACAACAATGGCAGTGCGACATGGTGGAGTCGAGCAACGGCGCGCTCAGCGTCGCGTGCGCGCACTGGCAGACCAACCTCTCGGGGCCAAGGCGGTGCACGCTGCTGCGGTACGTATCCGAGGACGGATCCCCACCACCAGGCGTTGCGGTGAGAGCAGTAGCGATACTACGGCAACCGAGCCTGAGGCGACTGACGTTGCAATCCTGCTGTAGGTAGGTGTTGCAAGGGGCTGCTGTCCGTATGGGTGGTGAAGTGATTCTGCATATAGGCGTTGCAACGGGATGCTCTTTGTGTGGGTGGTGAAGTGATTCTGCATATAGGCGTTGCAACGGGATGCTCTTTGTGTGGGTGTGACTAATTCTGCCTCTTATGTTTGTGCTCGATGCCACGCGCGTGTGTGAACGCCCTATAACGGGGACGCTTTCTTTCGATCCTTTCTGCTGCTGAACTTCATATTTTCCAGCTTTCTCCCCAAAAACCAACAAGAAAGCACGTAAATGTTCAACGCTCCCCCTTTTTTCTGTGGTATTTTTGTGCATACCCACGGTATTTTTGTTTTTGTTGCTTGCCATTTTTATTCGCAAGATTTTTTTCGGTTCTTTTTTTTTTTTTTTCAATTTGACAGGACGACCCCTCGTTGGCCGGCAAGCCGCGGGACCCCCGCCCCACGATCGTGTTCACGACCATCGAGCACCCCATCATGCGGGAGTGGGCGCTGGCAGGCGTGGACGTGGAGGTCTTCCCTTCTGGTCTCGTGCTTGAGGAGATGGAGTCTTCGGCGGTAAGCTTGATGCCTGTGTACCACCTCTGTTTGGAGATATAGGGACCGTTAGGATACAAATGGGAGGCACCGTAGGGATACAAGTGGGAGTGTCCCAACGGTCCTCCAGGTTTTGGAACCAAGAGGCGGGGTGTGTACGCGTGATGCCAAGCGAGGCACTTAATTCTCCAGGCGATATCAGCCAGCGGAAGTTGTTGCAAGCACGCACAGAGCGAAGGATCACGGCCGCGCGTCTGGATCAGGCCGCGCGATCCTCCGTCAGACGTGAGCGTTGCGGTCGCGCCCATTCTTAAGCCGCGGCCGAGGTGTGTCTCATATGCTTGTCACCCTATTAATATTTGTTTTTTTTCTGTCTTGGCTGTTGTTTGAAGGGCCCAGTGACGAAGGTTCATGGGCTGATAGGGTGGGACAACAAGGGGACTCTGCAGCACATGGCCAAGATGAGCTACATGACGGAGAGAGCGGACCGGTTGGAGGGTCTCGGGGTACGCGCGTAGCAGTAGATAATGACCTCTCTCTCTGTTTTCGGTGATAGTAGGGACCACTATTATTGTGGTGTTCGCGTTTGTGTCCGAATGGCCCTTTATGTTTTGGAACTGACTGAGTGGTATTGAATTGAATACCACTGCTGTTTGACAGTTGTTGATGTTGCCTTCACAGATTACAATCCGTTCCGATCCCTCTGCACAGTACCTTCATCTGTCCGTACTATTGTATGCATATGCCTTCCACTTGACGTGGTCGATAGTACAAGGACTGTTCGGGTAACAAATGTGAAGACAACAGTGAATTAAACGGAACCTTTTGCTGTCCCGTTCCTTCGAGGCTCAAGTTGCTATGAGTTGCCCGCCTTTGCTGCCCCGTAATACACTCCCACGCCCCGTGTTCCGCTCTGCCTGCCCCCCCCCCCGGTTTCTTATTTTCGCCTTTCCTTCGTCTCCCTCCCATCTACCTCTCCTCTGGAGGGGTCACTTGTGTAACCCCTAAGGCACCCAAAACATTAAAATACCC